CACCCTCCGGTAGTAATCCCTCCTCCTCACGAACCGGTCCAGGTCCTCGATCACCGCCCGCTTCAGATCCGGATCCATGGCCAGCTTCTCGAACGTGGCCGGGTGGTCCAGGTTGACGCACCCCCAGTACCCGTTCCCTCCCCCACCGTCGTCGTCGTTGTCGCTGAAGGGACAGTCCCTCGTGTACAGCTTCACCGCCCGGTCCTTCTCCCTGATCTCCTTCGCCCGCGACAGCACTAGCGGCAAGTACTCCTCGACCACCGCCTCCTTATTCGACCTCTCGAAAGTCAGCTCGAAGTAGCGCTTCTCCGGCTGGTATTTCCGTCGGTCTCCGTCCGGTTCGACGAGGACGAACTGCCACGTCAGATCGAAGCCTCGGAAGCTGTCGGCAACCACTTGGTCCCGGACGATGCCGAACGTGATGGTCTTCTGCTTGGCGGTCTTGTTGACCCGCAGGCGGTCGGTGTCCGGGTTGATCCTCGTACGGAGGTAGATCTCGGCGGCCTCGTAGATTTGGTTGGGGAGGATGCCGGACTGCTCGTCGACGACTAGTGTCATGAGCTTGGGCTTTCTGAAGTGGAATAGCCGGTCGAGGAGGCGCTTGAGGAAAGGGCCGAAGGTGGCGTGGAAGAAGGAGCGGACGGGCTCCGGGATGACGTCGTTGGCGATCGAGCGGAAGAGCATGATGGTGGCCGCCATGGACGCGTAGGCGGCGAAGAAATTGGTCGCCATCGATTGCATCTCCCCAACAGACTGCATTTTTTTGGGTTATAATTTTTATCAGAAGAAACTGAGAAATTGTGATTTTGGTCACGAGTTTTTTATTATCCCTTTTATAGGGAGATTGGGACTGAGGCGTCAACATCTGAGCAAAGCTTAAGGAGGAAGGAGAAGATGGGGGGTTTGGGAATCTGGTGACGTGGGAGAGTATGATTGGGTGGGGAAGTGCGGTTGCAGGGTAAGGGTGTGGGTGGAGGGCGTATGGGATCGGGACCGGACTTGGAGGCCACGCTTGTACGTGTGAACGAGTGGATTTTTCAGAGGATTGGGGAGAATTGATTAGGGGTTTAGGTTAGGTATTGATTTAGTCTCGCGAAATGCAAAATTTGTTAATTGCACCTTTGTGTTTTTTTGGTAAAGTTACTTTTGCCGCATATAGTTATTTGAGAAATATTGTGGTCTCGTTACGAAAATGTTTAACTGTTAGATTATCTATCTTATATTAATTATATTTGTATTTAACGGTTGTAATTCTCGACGGAATAGTTTCGTAACGGGACCGTAGTTATAACTCTCGACGGGATGATTTCGTAACGGGATCGTAGTATTTCCCTATTTATTGATGATATTTTTTTTAATACGAGAGACACATGATTAATTAAGAGTCACAACTCGAATACAATTTTGTTTTTTTAAGAAATTCAATCATTTTTAATTAATTATATTTTTAATTTAAATTTAACTTAATTTGAACTCAATCTGATTATCCTCAATATTATCAATATAATTAATTAATATCACTCAATCATTTTTACACATTTCATCAACTTTCGTTCACTGTTCATCTGATCACATAATTTTAACTACATCCCTTCACATCATCTCTGTCATACTTTTACTTGAAATTAATTTTAATTATTTTATTTTAAATATAATTTTAAATAAACTCAAAATCACATTAATAACTAACCTTGCTACTTTTTTTTTTTTCAAAATTAATCATACTAAACCAAAAAAATTTAAACAAAATCAAAAATATTTTATATCCGAACATCCCCT